AAAAAAAAAAAAACTTGGGAGTGGCTACCTTGGGTATAAGGCCTATATGGAGGTTTAATTTTCTTACCCTTTATCTTTTTTTGTTTCGTATAAACTCGCATAATTAGTTTTCTAACTCTTTCTGGCCCGCCTAGACTGGCACTAGCTATCCGCGAGGGAGGCCAATTGTAACAATGTAAGTTGACGGACAAAAAATGAAGATTGTTGTTGAGGTCTACAGTGTAGTTATTGTACTATCAGCTTTAACAGTTCAACATCTTCTCCTATACTATCTTTCTCCTGACTGCGTGTCAACTTGAGAAGCATTGCGAGCTGTTTATCCACTCTCTCTGAACGTTCGTCTGTGCATTGGAGGATCACATCAGAGTTCAAACAAAATGGCTCAGCATCCGAGTGACACATGTTGACCACCACGGCTTCGTCGCAAAACAACTTCTTTAAATCAGTTCCTCTTTTCTCGCTACCAAATATTCCTGAGAAACGTTCCCCAATAAAATGAGCCATTTCAAGATCCTCCACACTATCTTCGACGTTGGTTTTGGCTTGAGTGTAAGATTCGTTGAGCATAGACACTATCATATTGACAAGTAAAATTAGCACTGTCAGCGTATAAAGGACAGCGAATGCTGGACCAATGATTCGATTTTCAACTCGAATCTCCTCTAGCGGGAAAGCTTTCCCAAGCAAAAATTCAATTTGACCAGTGAAAGCACTTGTATAGCTGGAGTATAATTGAAGCGTTCGTCCAAACAGCATTACTCCGCATATGGCGAACGCGTTGAGGATGAGCAGAAAAAAGAAAAAGTATGATATCTGGTAGGTGATAGACTGTCGGAAGGACGAAAATAAATATACCACTGAGGGGTTGAAACGAATAAGATGTAAAAGCTTCACGGTCGCCAAGAATATGGCGAAGGAGATCAAAATGTTTTCATAGTTTGCCCAAGAAAGTGATGTTTGGAAGTTAATTAAGCCATAGGGATTCCTGTGAATATCCTTGATGCTCTGCAAGACACATTTTGCTCGTACTATGTAGAAGGCGACAGAAGATGCAGATGAAGCAACTTGCAAAACCTGAACAATGTTCCACGGGCACGTAAAAAAGCTAAGTTTCTGTCGGCAGAGATTGATTAAAATCATAACAAAATAGAAAAGCACCATAACTATGAATAGAAATTGGCAAATGAGATAAAAGTCTTGAGTTCCCGACTGTGTGCTGTACAATTCAAGTGTGTCAACCCGCACTGATGTAAAGGCTGCTCCAGTTGCGAGTACCTCATAAAAGTAAGTAGCGATGCTGACCAAATTCGTGTTGGCGTTAAATACAGTGAGTTCTACCATAATAGCCCTTGTCTGTTGATCAACCCATCTATTCGCAGAGGCCTCCCTAACAACGCGATCTGCTGTTTCCTTGTCGTACCCTAGAATGGCTATATATCCTCCACCCTCGTAAAGTTTGTATTTACCGCGAACTGCACCACTCTTGATTTCTTGCGGGGTTTGGTATCGCCAAGGTTCTGGGCAAACAGCAAGAGCTTCAGGAAATGAAGTGTTCCGTGACAGTGGCATCCAGCCAGGCAAGCTGAACATGGTTCTGTCCTCGATTTTTGGAGTGTAGTCATAATGACAATTTGCAATAATGTGGCTGAGCCTACCACAAGAACCTAAGTAGAGAGAACAAGATGTGTTTATAGTCCGTGGAATAAGCCTACTGTAGAAAAATAAGATCTCTCTAAAACACTGCTGCTATGACTATATACTTCTACAGGATTAAAATAGGATCAACTCTATCCCGAATTGCATAGAAAGCTAATCAATCATAGAGAATTTTACGTGTATAGCTTTAATGTGACATGTATATAAGTCAACGGCGGCGCCCGGTTAATATATTTTTTCATCGATGAGATCGTGAGCGTTCCCTTAGTAACTTCCTCGCAGTAACGACCAATCGACTGTAGGGACCAAGAGCTTTCATAGGACACAAAGGGAAAATTGCTACTTACTTGTTGTAATTCTGACTTGTCTCATTCGTGGCACACCAACCAATATGGACATCTTGTTCTCAAAATATACTTCCCGGATTTCTTTTTCGCCGTTGTACCAGAATCCTGCATAGACGTTGGGAACAAATATTTGTTTCATCCAACCCCACAGTCTGTGTGGGTGGGTGACCTGAATTTAAAGCGATAGAACCTTCTTTTACTTAATGCAAGAAGTACGCTTATTTTAGGTCACATAATGCTATGTGCTTACTTTCGTTTGCTCGTTTTCCCCTCGTTTTGTTTGTTTGTTTATTTTTTTAAATTCTGTTTTGTCATTATTGGTGTTTTTCTAGCGAATTAAGTTATGCCTTAGTAACATTGAACCCCGGTTGCCCCTTTAAATGACTTTTTAATGATCGCTACCAGCCATTCTAAGTCAATTTTGATGTTCAGTGCTGTACTTATCACATCAGGGGGTCTAAAAAATCCAATATAGATTAATTGCGATAGCCGGCGATCGATATTCTCAGAATGTGCGCAATTACTCGAGCCTCTGAACGAATATTCGTAGTTGAATCTATCGCAAATCATCGGATGACAAGGTCAATTTTGGAGTCTTCGAGGGTTTCCGAGCGATCTTTAAAACTATTTTGACGTAGGTTTGCTCACGACTAACGGAATTAACAACAATCGGACCAAGTTTTAATCAATCAGAATTAAAGTAAGTTTTCCTTTTATGTAATCTCTAACATTTAATTGCTGTTGCTGACTTCACCTTTTATGACAAAAAAACGGCCAGGATTTATCAGAAATACTTACCGAATCAAATTTCCCAAATGGTTGGCGCATGGTACTCGTCATGAGGAATCGGTGGATGTTTTTGTTGCCATAGCAAACGATGGCCATGAGAAACATAAATAACAGATGCAGAACAACGTCTCTCGCCATTCCAGTTAATTTATTTTCTTTCCTCTTATGATCACGTATTTTCTGCAGCTCGTATTGCCTGCGGAGTTTCAATGGATCATCGTCATGTAAGATGCTAATGTCGTCGAATGTATCACAGGATTCCTTCTCTTTCGAAGACGCTTTATTCTTTCCCTTTCTCATTATCAGTGCAAAGGAAATGGCAATAACTGCCTGCATAACCTTTGCGGGCTGTAGGAAAAAAATGTCTTGAACGAGAGAGGTCAAAATGGAAGCCAGCCACTGTTCAGATAGTTCTTTGCCCCACATTAAACTGTAAAATAAAGTGAATGCTGCAGCCAATAAAGTTGTCGCAATGCACAAGCACCATCCGATATAAATGAAGAAATAAGGTAATACACAACTTGTCTCACGACGTTGTTCCTCTACAAGGTGCTCAATTTCCTCATGTGGTTCGTATTTTTCTTTTCTTTTCCGTGGTTTGCTTGAGCGAAAAAGAAGCACAATTAAAATATTAACTGGTGCAACTATCAGACCACTCTGTACTCCAATGACAATCTGTCTCCAAGAAAACTTAAATGGC